GCTGCTTTGCCTGAGGCTACAGAGGCAGGACTTGAGATCAGTGCCAGTGGATGCTAAATTTCGAGTACAGGACCAGTATCTTCAAAAGCAGCCTTGACACAGCAGAATGCAGTTTATGAATATCATCTGGCTGAACTGAAAAGCAGGATTCTCTAATTAGACCTATTCAGGCTTGCTCTTGATAGTATCTCACTGCAGCTAGTCGGGAATATTTAATGTTCATGGTAGGATTTGCTGCATTCCCACTTGTCAGATCCCTAATTGTTCATCATCATCATCATCATTGCCAAAAACAGCAGCAATAACAATAAGAGCAGACATAGAGAGAGGACTGTTCCTTCAAATAAAGTCTTATGTGAAACCCTCATGCATAACAATGCTTACTTTCTACTGGCTCCCATCCTTCTGTTTTCTAGAATTAACATTTCTGGATTATAATCCTTTATAAAGAGAGGCACCAAGATTCATCAGTTCAGTATTTTAGCTAGTAAAGTGACGACTACTTACTTACTTTGGTTGTTAGAAAATCCCAAACTGACTCACAGTCTGAAAACACAGGAAGGAATAAAATACTTGAGAAAGGTTTTCTCAGTTTGTTGGGCATAAACTTCAGCAGTTTAACAATTTCATCAACATTCTCTATGATTTCAGCAGTAGATTCTTTTTAGTTTCTGGAGATATTATGCAATTTTGTCTTTTCTAGGTCTTCACTGGGATTTCAGTAGAAATTTGGGAGATGATACATTGCTGGCAACTGGCCAAGTAGCATTTTAAACTGAAATCCAATGGAAATTTAATTTGATTGCACTACAAATGTTAACTTCATATTTTTCCTCCCATCAAGTGTGTCCCTTCTTGCCATTAGGCACATTAGTATACTACAAATGGGCAACTGTACCAGAAGCAGAAAGAGATTCGCTCCACTCCAATTTTGAATATGACAGTTGTGAAGTCAAGCTCATGACCTGTGTGCCAATTTGCAGTCCAATAAAAATTTAAATGCTTGAATTATTAACAGAGAGTGAGGAAAGGGGATTAAAATGGTAACATTTATAATGAGGTGATGATTCCCAGCATATTAAAGTTACACATTTTTGGAACATTTTACATGCATATTCTTTGTAATTTTCATAGCCTGTAAATTTTGTTTGTTGCTAGAATTCATTTAAAATCGTTTTTAATACTTCATTCTATCTGCATCAGCAGTCAGGGCAGCTGTGGATAGTAACACAGTTTTTAAAAAGTGACTTGAATCTTAGAGTCAGACAGACATGAATTCAAGTTCTGATTCTGTGACTTCTGTTTTATGAGTTCTGACAAGATATTCAACCTTGCTGAGAAAGTTAGCCTGCAATTATGCTGCAGACGTTTTGTAAGGATTACGCTAAATAAATAGCCATAGTTCAAATAGCAAATATATTTGAGTGCCTGGTGTAGTAGCTGCTTGTGAAGAGATCTGGTCCTTTCATTTTTACTAAGCCATTTAGAGTAAATAATCCTCATATCATGTGGTAATTTATTCAATCAAACATTCATTTGTCCAACTAACATTTTTCCCAAGTCTACTCTAGTACTGGGAACTCTAAGAATTAAGAATATTAAAAAAAAAAAACATAAGACCTTCAAAAATATTATAAACTAATAGCCAACTCATGGTCTATAATGCTGTCTAAGGAATATTGTACAAAGATATTCAAGGGACACTATAAGGACACTAAGAAAAAAAATACAATATTTTCTTTGTGCTTTTGAGTATGGTAGTTAAATCCTTTGAGCTTCTTTATTTTTAATTTTTTAAAATGAGATTAATAAAAGCATTTGAACTACATTAATATGATGGGGCAATATCTACAACCCCTTTTAAAGGTACTGCAGTATATAACAGTTTATCCAATGTCATATCTTAATTTATTTAACAAATATTTACGATCCATCTTTTGTGTCCAGTGTGTGAAAGCCACTCACTATACGGAGCCACCGCTGCCATTAAAATATGAGTCACTGAAGATAAGATATGCTGTAAGTATGAAACATACCAGATTTCAAAGGTTTAGTTTAAAAGGGGAACTTAAATACCTTAATAGTATCAAATATTCACTGCACATTAAAACTATATTTGTGTATACTACATTAAATAAAACATGTTCAAATTAATTTCAATTGTTTCCTTTACAAATGTGGTTACTAGAACATCTAAAATGACTCACGTAGCTCTCACTTATGGCTTACATCATGCTTCTACAGTGCAGCACTAGCGCTGTTTCATGGACTGTGTTAACCCCGGGTGACAGGATGAAGAACCCTGTCCCTGAGTGCACCGTGATGTACATCCTACAAACAAGCACAGAGACTGTTAAAATATACCTGGAATATTCAGAAGTCCTTTCCTACGCACTCATCTTTGGTCAGTACGTATTAGCTGTTACGGTTTAGATCGAAAGTGTTCCCCAAAAGGATCAGGTGTTCAGAGGTGGGGTTTAGAAAAGATGATCATACCACGGGTAGCTGACCTCGTCAGTGAGGTGATGAGTTCACGGATGACTTCTGTTAGAAGGTGGAAGGAGTAGGCCTCTGTGGCCATAACCTGTAGTAATATGTTCTTGTCTCTGGTCTCTTCTCTCTGGCTCTTCCTTACCCTTTCTGCTTTCTGAAACCATGGACTGAAAATTCTCAAAGTGTGAGTCATAATAAAATATTTCTTCTACCAAGTCTCTCGCTCTCTCCAGGTATTTGGTCACGTGACAGAAAGCTGACCAGTGCTGATCATCGATTGATGAATATTCTTCAAGGCCTTATAGCACCTTGATGACCTCTGCCATAACACTTACTGCACTGTGTGTTACCTATTTCTTAGTTGTTTAAGGTCAATGGCTGCTGTGAAAACTTTTTTTTTTTTTTTTTTTTTTTTTTGTCTTTTTCCTTTTTTATCGGTACCAGGGATTGAACTCACGACTGCCTGCTTCCAAGGCAGGTGCTTATGCCGCTGAGCTAAACCTCCAGCCCCGGTAGTAGCTTTTCTAACATATTTGTTGAACTGATGGAATAATATCTTTGTTGATAAGAGTCTTCTACCAACTTTTTTCACACTTTTGAAATACCTTACTTAAGCCAAACACCTTGAATTAGAGTGCAAAGCCTTAAAAAATAAATCTTTTAAAAACATATGCAGAATGTATGCACCTCAGATATTTATCAGACTTTTTGAAGTTTTGCTCTTTGTCCTGTTATCTTTTTGGAAATGAGAAAAGGAAAACAAAGAAGCAGAAAAATGGACTCAAGAGAGGAAGAAGATAGTTACCTTCAATTTTATTCCCCACTCAACATCCAAAGGAAATGTAGATAAATTCAGTCTCAAAATTTATATACACTCGTCCCCAAAATATGCCCTGTTATAGATCAGCAGAACCTCTAGGCTGCCTTAGTTCCCACAATGGGAAAGATTGTTGCTTATAAGTATGTTTGGCTGCAATTTTATTGTATCATTTTGTTCTGTCCTTAGGGAAATTCCAAAACAACTTTCCATGATCTTAGAAGTGGGCAGAAATTCTGTTGCAAAATGACATAGGGTGAAAGTATTAAAAACTACCTCCTAGGCACTTGTGCCCGAGAGCTTTGTTTAGAGAAACAGGTTATCACTAGTAATAAAATTGCAATGTGTTTGAGAAATGTCTGTTAGGTTCTCTTTTTCTTCATGACTGAGAATGAGCTCAGCCCTGGTGGTTCAGGGACAGGAGGTTTCACCTACACCCTGAAGGCAGCAGCAGTACTCGGCTTTTATGTCCTTGCCTCTTCCACTTTATGAGAATGAATAATTCTATGGCTTTGGCACACATCGCCCTGTCATACCAGCTTGAGCCCAAGGAGACACACTCACATGTGGCAGCCTCTTCCAATCCTGAATTACAGAGCACAGAACATATGATGAGTGAGTAATCAGTTTGTGGATTCAGTTACTCTAGGGAGTCTGAATTCAGATTCCCAGCTCTGATCACCCTCCCATCAGAGTTTTTATTTTCTTTTTTTCAATTAAGCAAACAACTATAGAAAAGACAGGATTTTAAAGGCCTGTAACACCTGGATAGTTGTAATTAGTCATGGCTTCAGAGATGTGGAGGTGATTCTCAACCATAAGATTTACCAAGCCTATAAAAAAGGAAGTTAGAATATGATCTTTTTAACACTGTATTCACTGTTTCATAAAATTGCATTGTTAATGATGGTATAAAAGAAATCCTGAAGTAGATCTCAGTATGCCAGAACCATAAAACGATGTGATTGCAATCCCTAAGGCTGCTTTGAATTCAAATAATCTGTGAAATCTATCATATATCTGATATAAGAATCAGGTCAATTTGTGAGAAAATAAACAGTAAAAATATGAGCACTGAAGAGAGTTGATCACCACAAGATTATTTCATTTGATTTTCATAGAATCTTTCAGGCAGTGGTTATGTCTATTCAGACAAAATAGGCATTGGTCTTCACTCCCTCAGTAAGATATTGAAGAATTTACCAAAATATTAGGGAAATTAAATAGAATAATTGAAAAGTATGTTTGGAATGTGATAAATTAGAACAACACACAACCTTGATGGTCACTCACTTTAGTTTCCTTATTTACAGTAAAAAACACTAGACCTATGTACCCAAAAACTCACTTAATAAAAAAATCCAATTCTCAAGTCAAATCATACCAGTACCAGACCAGTGCTGTTTCAACACCTCAATATGCCCATAGCTACAAAACTCAAATTTTATCTCCATTGTGATTTATACTATAATTTTTATAGGCTTCATTGATGAATTTGCATCTATTTATAGATTTGATTCCATAGATCAAATTTATCAACTTTGTGCTTGGACTTCACTTAAGCTTGCAATGAGAGGGCAGCATTGCAGTATTTCATTAATAAATCAAAGCTGTGTCTGTTCACACATTGGTGAGGTATCATAAGCGAGAGAAAAGAAATTGTTTTGAGATATTTTGGAAAAGTTCATACCTCAGCTGAGGAAAAGGCTTACATTGTCAGAATTTTCTTTCTGTTCAGAGGCTTCAGTAGAGTTCGACTGCTGTCTGTAAACATGTGATCATCTGGGGCTCTTTCCAGAGCTATCTGGTGCGTAATTCATTGCTCAGCAAACATCTGTCTGTGTGAGGGGGTGGTCAGTTGGAGCTACTGGTTGTGAAGACAATTGCCTCTCCCTCTGCTGGTGAAATTTATCTAATTTTGCACCTACAGTGCAGCCATGTTTGTCTTCAAATAGCTAAAATAACATGCCGTGGCTAATTTTGTGTATCAATTTAAAACAGGATTACAAATGCCTAGCTATCTACTGAAACATTATTTCTGGGTGTGTCTGGGAGGGTGCTCTGGAAAGGATGCTTAACATTTGATTCCATAAACTGAATAAAGAAAGATGACACTCTTGAATGTGAGTAGGCATCACCCAATCTGTGGACCACTGAATCCGAGTAGAATGAAAAGGTGGAAGAAAGATGAAATCAATCTCTCTCTCAACCTCTGTGTCTCTCTATCTCTCTCTTCTCTCTGTCTCTGTCTGACTGTCTCTCTTTGTCTGAACTGAGACCTCCATCTTCTCCAGTTTAGAAATCAGTGCTCCTGGCACTCATGTCTTTGGGCACACACTGGAGTTTTACCATCAGTTTTCCTTGGCCTCCACATAGTAGATTCTGTCTTGTCACTGGGACACAATACCCAATACTCACAACTCTAAGCAACTCACACTTTGCAGAAGTTATCCACAGCTAGCTACTAGACAGAGCGGGATGGCAGAGGGCATGGCAGAGGAAAGAGCTCATACCATGGCAATGGGAAGCAGAGAGAGAGAGAGAGAGAGAGAGAGAGAGAGAGAGAGAGAGAGAGAGAGAGAGAGAGAGAAACAGGTAAGGAGATGGGGGGTGAGGAGATACACTCTTCTAAATAATACTCCAATGACCCACCTCCCCTAACCAATCTTTATCTCGCAACCTTACATCTAGGTATAATCTCATCAGAGGACTATACCCATGATCCAATCACCTCCCCAAAGTCCCACCTGTGCATATTTGAGACTTTAGGGAGGCATTCAGATATAAACTGTAACACTAACTAAGCCAATCCCTTGCAATCTGCTCTCTATCTCTGTCTCTATCTCTGTCTCTCTCTCTGTCTCTATCTCTGTCTCTCTCTGTCTCTCTCCCTCTCTCTCTCTCATTCTCAGTTCTGTTTCTCAGAAGAAACCTAATACAAATTGTTAACAAAAAGGAAACATTCAATTTTTAAGCATATCTATTATGAAAATAGAACCAGGCCATTGAATTGAAGTTACCAAAGAGGACCTGTGATCATAATCAGAAAAAAAAATTTTATAACTTTTAAAGTTGTCCAAAAATGAAACAAGCTGTCTTGAAATTCAATAATTTCTTGTCATCAGTAATGTTTCAGCAAGTCTTAAGGATCACCTGTCAGTGATGTTGAGATCACAAAAAGAAAAACAATACATTGCTCAAGTGAGTTCATTCAGACACTTAACTATAATAGGCTAATATTACAATTTTTTATTTTCAAGTGTTAGATATCAAGTATTTATGAATCATTTTTTTTAAGTTTAACTTTGAGGGTAGAAGGAAAACACAAGATAGAGTTTCTACCAGACCAGCATGATCTTTAATATCTAGGAGACAAGTGTAATTTCCCCCAAACTCTTAGATAATAGCATAACTAACATATAACCATATGCCAAATTAAATGATATTATCTATGAACATAATTGAATGCAGAGGTAAAATTGAGTTTGGATAGAATCTAAATGAATAGAAAGGGAAATAGAATATGTGGGTATAAAAATAGATGAGGATGGTAGAATATGACCTATTATGTAGAAACTACTATACACATATGGTCAAAAGGCTTTGGTTCAAGATACCCAAGACACTAAGAATGTGTTTGAAGAACTGTATTGGAAATATATTTTTATATCATAGTTTTCCATCTCATGGCACAGTAGCTAAACAGCTGGATATTTAAGAACCCATTCTTGAACTAGTTCACTTCCTGCTTCTCAATGTCAGTCCCTAAGTACTACTGTAAGATCTAGTAAACAGTATAAATGAAGTGGATTTAAGTAGCTGTAACAACATCATACCCAGTTTGACCCTAGGACCCATTTCATAAATTCTGTGCAATCTGCAAACAGTTACTTTTCCATCAAATATCACCAGTCCTTTGTTGAAATTGGCTGTGTGGGGGCTGTCCATCTTTCTGGATGAAAGTAAATAGCACATACAAAAGCCTGTCTTGTGTTTGCATGGCATGTCTATTCACCACAGTAAAGAACAACTGCTGTCTTTGAAAAGAGGACAGACACGGAGGAGAGTCAGTGCAATTATTCAGGCTCATTCATAATCATTGCACTCCAAATGGAGGAAGAGTTGTAGGAAATTGGATGGCTCTTACAGGCAGTGCATTATAATGAATGGGAAACATTTAGAAATCCAGATAGGCAAAAGAAATGGAGCATCCGCTTCACCACTGCCCTAAGAATTACTGAAGTTAGGCAAGTGTAAATGATAAACAAAACAATCAGAGTAAATTGTAGAGCCATCTTCCATGCTGCTTTAATTAAAAAGCCTTTCATCATTTCCAGTTTAAACATCTCTTTTCTCAGTTCTGAAAGTAACTACTAAATCTTCTAGTGTTTTTACATTGGTTGTAGGAAAATTTGGTTTTAATTTCCTGGCTGTACAAGGAAAAAAATTTATATATTTTTCCTGGTAATTTGAATGCATATTTTTCTCTTCATTTGCTCTATTTCAGAGTAACACATGTTATTTTAGATACACAAAATGTATTAGGATGTCAAACACTTTGAAATAAAGGTTATAAAGCATGTAGATATTAGAGTAGCTCTGAAATACACTAAGTAGAATAAATTTAAACAATAGATACATTAGAAGACACTCAGAATTTCAGACACTAAGGTTAGTTTAAGGGACTTTACTTTGATACCTTTAAAAGGAAGAGAAAATTTGACAACACTGTTTGCCATTTCTTCACTTGTGCTGCATCCTCTTTGTATATTTGTGTAAAGTAACCCATACACAAAAATTTCCTTACTCTTTATTTTCAATAATCCTAATGCATCTGAAGTCCAGTCACCCTGTTTCTATGATTTTTCTTTTCTTTCATTAGAGAGAGCATACTAGCTCACATGACTATACGTTACATACTAGAAAGGGTGTCATAGAGTCACATATAACCATCAGGGCTTTATTATTTATTTTAAAATGGCAATGATAATATTAAAAAGGAGCTCATGTTTTAGGTAGACACATCAATAGCCAAATACCTATCTCAGAAAGCTAGGGAATTATGTATAATAAAATACTTATTGGATACATGCATAGAAATTCTATCACTTATGTGCTTTTAACTATCATTTCTCATTTTTTCTCTGAAGCTCATTATCATCTTCCTGGTGCAGAATCTTCAAGAAATAAGAGTGTTTCAAAATTTGAACATCTACTGTTTTGCACCTGGTACTCATGCAGGTCTGTACAAGTGGCTCATGCACACTAGAAAGAGAGAGCTGAGATGTTCTATTTGTTTACCAGTTCACCACTCATGAAGGTTGCTATCTCAGGTTGGAGTAACCTCTTCAGACACTTCACATTTTCCTAATGCTTATTCTTCTAGCAGAGTTCCAGCTCTACCTGACCACTTGGATTTAAAAAAAAAAAAAAAAAAAAAAAAAAAAAAAAAAAAAAAAAGCAAACATCAGAAGATGTACCTCAGACGTCTCAGTCTGGTATCCTGGTCCCTACAGCTGGCTGTGTATCAGAAACTCAGGGGAAGTTTGGCTGCTTCACATCAAAGCTTTGATCCTGATCCTGTGCTTATCCTCTTCCACATGCAAGCTCTATGGGACAGAGGCAATATCTGTAAGCGTGGCTTTAGTCAGTAGCAGAGACTGGTTTCCCACATCTTCTGCAACAGCATGGGTGCAGGACACAAGTGCCGTCCATTAACGTACTCACCCTAGATTCTGAGCAGGGTTTAGAAAAGAAAAACAAGAGAGGGATTTGTAGTGTAATCCTGTTGTCCAGAGCAAGGTAACCACGACAGTGGTTCTACTTTTTTTAAAAGAGAAAAAATAAGTAAACAATGATAGAGAATTTCAAAACAAAATGACAGATACATTGCATGTAGTTATCTTCAATGTAGTTGCTCAGATTACAAGATATAGGCATGAAAAGTTGATCAGACAATACAAGCATGAACCATTCTTTTCAATGAACTAATAGAAATTAGTAGCATAATTAGCTTAGTCATCACATATTTCTCTGTATATTCTTTTCTCTTCCTTTTTTCTCCTTTCCCCATTGCAGTTGTTCTTTCTTGTGAGTGCTTTTCTCCCACTTTCACGTTCACAATATCTATTGTACATTTTGGGTCTTATTTATTCTTTCAGTTTCTTATATTAAGGATAAATATGATGCTTACGCATGTGAATCTGATTCATTTTACAGTGGTTCTATCGTTTGGCACTGACTTTTAAGGCAAATTCTGTAAGATATAGCATATGTTTAAAAACAGCGTTCTTGGGAAATAATTTTCATACCTGAACATTTTCCTGTTTTCATACCTGTTTGAAGTGTACACTTCATTTGTTGATGTTATTGCTGTCTGTTTTTTTTTTTTCTTTGTTTTGGGAAAATTTACAAAGTTATATATCCACTACAGTTCAATTTTAGAACATTCTACCCCCCCCCCAAATAAAGATCCATTGTGACTACTATTTCCACTGGTTCCATAACTTAGGCACCTACAGTACCAATTTCCTTTTTGTCTTTATAGATTTCCCTTTCTGGATATTTCATAAAAGCGGAATCACACAATATGTGGTCTTTTGCATCAGGTTTTTCTCACTGAGAATAGTATTTGGAAGTTGGGTTTCACCATATATTACTACTTTGCTTTTTTAAAATTGTTAAATGGTACTTAATTGCAGTTTTTGTTTATTCATGTAACAGTCAAGTCTAAAAGGTAGATGGCTTTCACTTTTTTGGCTACCAGGGATA